TTTGGAGACTGTTTGGTAACCAAAATTGTGGTTCGAACCTTCCAGCAGTACTTCAGGTCCTTGATTTGGACTTATTTGGACTCGGATTGAGTCAAATTTGGTGTCGTTGGGTTTGTATTTTTGAGACGCTCAGTTCAACTATAAGTTTATTGAAATCAGAGTTCAGATGATCCCAGATTTAATTTTTGAACTTTTCCGCTTGATTTTGCCTCGAGATTCGTGCCCAATGAAGAGAATTTTTTGATGATATATGAATGATCAAGCATAACTTTTGACATGCAACATAGATTAAAAAATACAATAAATATGGAGCCTAATTTAATTTAGTTAATCTAAACAACGAACGACCAAGCTAAAAAAAATTGCATGATCAACTTCAAATAAGATTCTTAGTATTAAGTAAAGCTTATAGATGCATACACTACTTAAATAAGGGTTTTATGAACATAAACTATTTGAATTAAGTATAATCATCCTGCCTTAGATCTTCCTTGTGCAAGATGACAATTGCCTCCACCACCGTTATGCCATGAGAGAATTTGATTAATAATAAACATCACAGTATGAGTGCAATAAAAATATTTAATTATTTTATGTTGCACTCTTCTTCAAATAAATTTTAAATAAAAAAATAAAATTATTATATCCTCACAAATATCTCCTTATATATATTTATTGAAATTCAATGAAAGTATTTTTTGGGAAAAATTGAGGGTATCCGGTGAACGTACGCAGAGGAAGGTTCGGTTTTAGGCAAAAAAGCGCATGTACCGAGTTTTTCGCGCCTGTACCGAGTTTTTGCGCCTGTACCGAGTTTTGTGAAAAAACTCGGTACATGCACTTTTTTGCCTAAAACCGAACCTTCATCAGCGTACGTTCAATGGATATAATAAAAATTCTACTCGCTTAGCCCAATATTCAATGAAAGTATTATGGTCAATAATAATACACAACAACCGCGTACAAACGGCCTGACTGTTCTCATGTGCGTTACACCTATTTTCTCTACCTCCCTTCTCCATTCCACTGCTATTTAAGTTTCAGAGGAGGAAACAAAGCCGGAGAGAAGCTTCGGCTGTATGTAAGTTTGGGCGCCATGGAGGAGAATAAGGATGAGGGTTCGAGCTCGTCGCCACCGGGTTGGTTTCCATAGTTCTGTATCCCGCCCTTGCTTTCTTTTACTTCTTATTGCATAGTTCTACTCATTTGTGTGTCAGGGTTTGTAGTTCTGGTAGGCGGTTAGTGGGGAAGTTGAGTCCTTTCAATCGCTTCTGGAGTTGTTAGGTCTATCTGTAATATGTTCAAAGTGTGACCTATTATTTTAGAAAAGAAGGGGATCTAGAGATGTGTTAGTTGCTTTCGTTAAAGATCAGGTGTTTATGATTACAGGAAGAATTTCATTATAGTTTGTTTGTTGAATTGAGTTTTTCATTGACAACCAGGTAAAGTTTACCTTTTTTTTTCCTCATATTATCAATAGCACTATCACATGTTTTCACCTATTATAAGAAAAATCATGAAGTAGGAGTCTTGAAGAGGATAAGAGCTTGAAAGACAGCTAGCACTCATCCTATTTACTGCATGATTGGAATGAAAGTTGGAAAGAAAAAGAAGAAGAGGAAGAAGAAGGGGGGTGGAGGTGGAGGCGCAAAATAGTGGTTTCTAGTATGCTATCTCTTTTCAATGATAAATTATTAGGTGTGGACTGTGTATGTAGCTCTAAGTGCAAAAGATAGGATTGCACAACATTACACTCATTAAAAATAGATTATTCAATCAGTACACTGATAGGAAATACTTGAGTCCGCAAGTAACCTAAGGTAATACTTGAGTTCGCAAGCAAACCTGACCAAAACGGATGAGCAAACAACAGATTTACTGCTGTTGACAGCAGAAAACAGCACCCAGACAGAGAAAAAAACTGAAGGAAATCTGAGAGAAAACCAAGCAAATCACTGTATTCCTCTAGTGAATGAATAAAAACAACAAACGATACAATGTTCTTCAATTCGAGAGGAAGAACAACTCTCCAAAATTCTTTAGCAAACCTAGAGCCCAAGCACACAATGAGATATCAAACTTTTCATTCAAAATTCAAGATGAGATCCAATTACCTCCTAAGCTCCTAATTAACATCAAAGGGCGATTACAAACTTCCTAAAACAACCCCTCTCATTCAAATTTTCCCTCCTAAGTTGAATTAGACCAAGCATGGCCCACCTTGGCTTCCGCCCCCCCTTGGTTTTCTGCCTTCCGCCGCCCCTGTGGGCCCCGCCATTTGTAAACATGGACCGGTCTAGGTTGGATCGGTCCCCCTCCTAGGCCGGCGGCATATCAATACTCCCCCCCCCCCGCCCAATGACTCACCTTGTCCTCAAGGTGGAAAGAAGGGAATTGATCTTTCATTCTATCAATTGGTTCCAACGTAGCGTCGAAATCATGGAGGCCTCTCCATTTAATCAGCACTTCTTTGTTGCCCTTTTTATCTGATCGGACTCCTGCCAGCTCTAGTGGTTCTAAAATCACCTCTAAGTCCTCCATCATAGTACCTGGTAGTTCTTCGCTTGTTGCATGCTCCCCTATGACCTTTCTTACCTGAGTCACATGGAACACTGAATGTATAGTGGCTCATGGGGGTAGCTTCAATCGGTATGCCACCACTCCAATCATTTCCAAAACCTTAGAGGGGCCCTTGTATGCGGATGGTATGCGGCGCTTCTCTTGAGGATAGTGCCCTGCAATCGGAACAACTCCCTCCAAAACTGACTAAGGAACACCTTGTCTCGATCCGTCACTATCGATTCAGGAATCCCATGCAGTTTAACAACCTCCCTGATAAATGCTACTGCCACTAACACTACGGTGTAGGGATGTCGTAAGAGGATGAAGTGTGCATACTTACTAAGTCTGCCCACCACCACCATGATGACAATGTATCCTTTTGATCGTGGTAATCCGTCGATGAAGTCTATGTACACTTCCTCCCAAACTTTATTTGGAAGTGTCAATGGTTGGAGTAATCCTCCTGGAGCCGTGACCATGTATTTATTTATTTGGCACACTTCACACCTAGCCACCAGCTCCTCCACATCTTTATGCATCCCCTTCCAATAGAGCTCCGCTGCTAGCCTCCTGTATGTCTTCTGAACTTCTGAGTGGCCTCCAACCGCGCCGCTGTGAAACTCCTGCAACAAGTGGGGAATATGTATGGAGGTTCGTGGCATCACAAACCTCCCTTGATACAATAGTCTCTCCTCTCCATGCAGTAACCAGGATGGCTACTCTTGTCTTTCCTCAAATTCTCTCTGATCTTTCCCAATTCTTCATCTAACATGCTTTCTTCCTTGATGCCCCCCTAGTCGACCATCAAGGGTACAGACAGGGCTAACTCCTTGAGCTCCTCCACACATCTGGACAGGGCGTCAGCTGCTTTATTTTTCAAACCAGGCCTATACTGGATCTAGAAATCGTATCCCAAAAGTTTGGATAGCCACCGCTGATGCTCCTCAGTCACCATTCTTTGCTCCAAGAGGTACTTTAAACTCCTCTGATCAGTCCGGATAATGAAGTGTAGACCCAAAAGATAGGGGCCCACTTCTGAATGGCCGAGACAATCGTCATCAGCTCCCTCTCGTACACTTACTTCAGTCTTGCCGTGGTTGATAGCACTTGACTGAAGTATGCTACAGGCCTGTGGTTCTAGATCGACACTGCTCCCAACCCATATCCTGATGCATCAGTCTCTACAACAAAGGTCTGGCTGAAATCTGGAAGAGCTAGAACATAAGTAATGGTCATGGCTTTCATCAACCTCTCAAAGGCCTGGGTCGCTACATCTTCCCAGGAGAAGCTGTCTTTCTTCAACTGTTCAGTCAAAGGTCATGTAATGGTGCCATACCCCTTCATGAACTTCCTGTAATAGCCAGTTAATCCTAGGAAACCCCTCAACACTCTTATGTTCCTAGGTAGTGGTTATTTCTGCAATGCTTCAATTTTGGTTTGGTTCGCCGCCACTCTTTCTTGGGATACCACATGTCCCAAATATTCCACATCGGGCTGATCAAAACTGCATTTCTTCAGGTTGGCTCTTAGTTGATGCTCATGCAGTACTTCTAAGATCATCCTTAATTGTTCCAAGTGCTCCTCCCCAGTCTTGCTGTATACCAGAATGTCATCAAAGAAGACAAGGACAAACTTCCTGAGGTATGGCTTTAACACCATGTTCATCAAGGACTGAAACATAGCAGGAGCGTTAGTCAACCCAAAGGGCATTACTAGAAATTCATAATGCCCTTCATGTGTCATGAACGCTGTCTTTGGAACATCTGTCTCCCTCATTCTGATCTGGTGGTATCCGGATTTTAAGTCCATCTTGGAAAACATCACTGCCCCATGTAGCTCGTCCAACAACTCATCAATCATCGGAATTGGGAACTTGTCTGGTACAGTGCCCTTATTCAGAGCCCTGTAATCCACACAGAATCTCCAACTCCCATCCTTCTTCTTGACCAGGAGAACTAGATTAGAAAAGGGGTTGTTGCTGGGTCTGATGATCTCCGCCTCCAGCATTTCCTGGATCAACTTCTCAATCTCATCTTTCTGAATCTATGGGTAACGATAAGGGCGGACGCTGATTGGTGTCTCACCTCTTTCAAAGTAATGGCATGCTCTAACTCCCTCTGAGGAGATAAACCTTGGGGAGGTTAAAAGACCTCGCTGAACTGATATATGAGTGGCTACATTGTAGATGGAACATTGCCTTCTTCCTTTAGTCTGACCCCTTCCAGGCGGTGCAACTCCACTAAGTAGCCTCCTCCCTCCTCCTGAATGATTTTGATTAGAGATTTGAGAGAAACCCCTGCCTTGGTCAGCCCGGCATCACCCTGAATCATCCTCCTTCCCCCCACCACCAGCTCCATCCTCAGTGTTCCCCAATTGATCTTGGCCTCCCTCAATGTTTGCAGCCACTTCATCCCCAGGTTGACGTTAGTGTTCCCCAATTCTAAGGGAAGGAAGTCCTCCCTCAACTGGATCCCCTGAATCTTCAACACCACCCCCTACAAACTCCTCTACCCATTTCCACCTTTCCTGTGCCCATCATCACCCCATAGCCTCCTGTATCCACCAACTCCATCCCCAACAACTCAACGATCTGATTGGAAATGAAATTGTGGGTTGCTCCACTGTCAATCAACACCACCACCTCACTGTCAACTATCTCTCTTTTCACTTTCATAATGTGACTCGAAGTGAATCCAACTACAGTGTTCAGAGAGACTTCTGCCACATCCAGGTGAAGCTTCTCCTCCTCCTCTTCAGACCTGCTCCCACCTCCCACCTCGTCTTCATAGACAAGGTGAACCTGAAGAGTTCTCCTTGCACCTATGCCTCGGCATGTACTTCTCATCACATCTGAAGTACAACCCCTTTGCCCTCTTGTCATGCATCTCCTTCTCTGTCAGCCTTTTGAATTGTCCTCCATTTCTCTCTCCAATTTTCTCCTTTGGCGCTTGCTTCAGACTCCCTGGCGCTGCCCCTTTTGATGGTAGGAAGGTGGTAATCTGTATGATCCCCCTGAATAGTTTCCTTGAACTCCTCTTTCTGATTTCTTCTGATCCTCCACCAACTGCGCCAGCTCCATAGCCTTCCCTAGGTTCCTCGGCTCCAGCACCCTGACTGTTGTTCATATCTCAGGTTTAAGCTCCTTCATGAAGTTCCCTTCTAGGGCTGACTCTGAAATGTGCTCCAATCTGCTAGCCAAGTACTCAAACATGCCCCGGTAATCTGCTACAGTCCCCTCCTGAGTCAAGGCAAAGAATCGCTTATAGAAGTCTTCTCCCTCGTCGGCTCGGAAACGCTCTAATAAGCAATCTTTAAACTTTCTCCAGCTCCGGATGGGCTCCCTCCTGTCACGCCACTGATACCATGTCAAGACTTTTCCTTCCAAATACAATCCTGCTGACGTCAGCTTCTCTTCCTCTGTCAACCCGTTGAAAGTAAAGTAACGCTCCACCTTGTAAATCCATCCATGACCATCTTCACCCTGAAAGATGGACATCTTCAGTTTCCTCACTCGGGGGTCTCCCCCGTGTCCCCTGAATCCTTTATAATATCCCATTCCTCGAAAAGGAGGTGCTCCCCAGCTGTCATGATCTTCCCTCCAGTGATTATACCCGAACCCTTCATCATATTCCCTTCTTCTCCCTTCAAAATCAGTGCCTCAGTGATGAAATTCTTCCCTTCTCCCAACGAAATCAGTACCCCTCCGGTCATTTCCCAATCTCATCTCCTCTCTAGATAGTGGCTCTAGAGGTGGCATGTCATCCTTCCCCTCAATGACCTCCACTTCCAGATTTCTCCTCCCCTTAAACGGGTTTGGATTCCCTCCTATACCATGGCCTCCGGTGGTTTCTCTTGCTTCCGATGTCGTAGGATTTGTCTTCAACTCCAACAGTTTATTCAACATTTCTTCCATCATCGTGAATTTTCCCTCTATCCTTTCATTGTTGGAGGTGATTTGAGTTTGAAAGTAAAAAAACTTTACCTCCAAATCTGATTTTAGTTGACCGATCTCGCCTTCCAAGACCTCTACATTCTTTCCGGCCATCTCTCTTCCCACGAATCACAAAGATCTTCTTCCGGTTGTCAAGAACTTGCTGAAATTTCCAAATTTCAGCCGCCGAAGGTCCCAAATCGGTGCTCTGATACCAATTTGATAGGAAATACTTGAGTCCGCAAGTAACCCTAAGGTAATACCTGAGTTTGCAAGCAAACCTAACCAAAATGGATGAGCAAAAAGCAGATTTACTGCTGTTGACAGCAGAAAACAGCACCCAGACAGAAAAAAACTGAAGGAAATCTGAGAGAAAACCAAGCAAATCACTTGTATTCCACTAGTGAATGAATAAAAACAGCAAACGATACAATGTTCTTCAATTTGAGAGGAAGAACATTCTCCACAATTCTCTAGCAAACCCTAGAGCCCAAGCACACAATGAGATCTCAAAATTTTCATTCAAAATTCAAGATGAGATCCAATTACCTCATAAGCTCCTAATTAACATCAAAGGACAATTACAAACTTCCTAAAACAGCCCCTCTCATTCAAATTTTCCCTCCTAAGTTGAATTAGACCAAGCATGGCCTACCTAGGCTTCCTCCTCCCCTTGGTTTTCTGCCTTCCGCCGCCCATGTGGGCCCTGCCGTTTGTAAACATGAACCGGTCCAGGTTGGACTGGACCTTTCCAGCCGGCCCCTCTTGGGCCGGCGGCATATCATACACATTGATACATTGTTGCGTATTAAAAAAATTGTGTACTTAACAAGTACATGATTTTGGCTACGATACTTCACACATAGACAAAGAGCTACAATATGTTCTCCATATGTAATAATTTCTCTTTTCAAATGGGACATCAAGCATGTGTGCAACTTTGCAAATATTAAAATTCCAAGCAAATAGCTAAGTGGGTATAAAAGTATTTGATTCCATGTATATTTCGTCACTAGAATTTTGGTCTTGATTTGCTTGACAGAGGAATCTTCAGAGGTTTCAAGAGTGTAATTTGTTTTTGAAGTCAACTTTGATTTTTGAGCAGTTAAAATTTTCATCAGTCACTTCAATAGATTCTGATGATAACTTTTGATATACTCTCTCAGTTTCAAGCCGTAGCTTCAAATGCTTTTGATAATACAAATTGCTTCTAGAACTAGATCTATTTTCTTTAGTATTTGGTAATGTTTTGAAGAGTGTGTTTTATCTGCAAATAGCGAAAAAGGTTTTCACAAGTTCACTTTTTGATCTTCTTATACACAGGAATCTCCAGGTGGAGTTTGCCAAGATCTAACAGTTTGCCTGGTGAGGTGAAATTTGCGGAAAGTTTAGAGGCATCAACAACTAAGCTTGCATTGAATAGGTCTAAAACTGAGAGAAGAAAGCAAAATGTTGGGCGTACAGACCCTGCAGCACAGCTATTTGATGATAAAATTTCAGATAAAAAGAAGGTTAGAATTTTTGATATGCTGTATTATATTGTTAGATGCCACCCTTGTAATTTAACAGATCTTTTCCCAGTGGAACTTCTATAGTGCTCTCACTAGACTGTAATAATTACTCTTTTTATATAATTAGTTGTGCAAATATGCTACTTATTTGGTCGGATTTGTAGGAGAAACTTAATATTATTATGATTAAATGAATAGCATGTTCAATGTTAGAAGTGAGCAGAACTTAATTGATTTTTTACTCTTGAAACATTCAGCACATCTAAAAACAACTAAACAATTGCCGCAAATTGCCATTCATTGATAGTTGATAACCCATAATCTTTCTCCAAAGTTACTTCTCTATATCTTACTTTCCAACATGTAATGAACCACCTATTTTGTAAACTAAATATGCATAAATATTACTATAACATAAACACCAATAAAATTGTATACCATCTGATTATTTACCCATGTCTTACATAAGAGGAGGGGTGATGATCTGCGAGTAACTAAAAATTCTTAAGTTTATGTCGCAGTCGATTTATCCAAGTATATGTGAGTATAAGTAATGTAAACAAATTTAGATAATACTTATTGTTAAGTATGAGCGTGGAGTTAGAGGAGATGATGAGTTATAATGAGTTTTTGTGAAAATTTATTTTCTCGAAGAGTGGAAGGGTGTAAATAATGTTGACAAATGATGAGTGAAAATAAAATAAATGCAATTATGAAAAGAATGAGGGTAAAAAATAAATCTAATCAATAGGCACAAGGATTTATGGTGCCATGCCTTCTCAATCAATCAATAGACATTTGTTACTTTAAATCCCCTCCCTGTGCTCCTATATCAATCAAGCTTTTTGTGATATAATGCCAGAACTTTGTTGAAATATTTTTTCTTGAAGTTCTTATTTGATACATTTAAAGTAACATTTGTCACGACCCAATCCGACTAGTCCGAATTAACGGGGCGGAAACAAAAAGTCGTACGGTAACACAAAATTTCATTCATAATCAAACATAAACAAATGTTCATCCAAACTTCAATTATAAAAAGTGCCACTAAACATCAAACTTAAAAGTTGCAACAACATCAGAAATAACAATATAAATCACAACAATACCTCAGAAGGTCCCAATATATAAACTTTTACATAGACTAACACTAGACACACCAACAACTATAAAAAAAAAAATCTGCCATCCAGGGATCCTCTACGACGATAGGTAATCGGTCTTTCAGCCATCACTCTCTAGCAGTCTCTCCTGAAAAATATTTCCACTAGCAGTGGTGAGCCAACGCTCAGCAGGTAATACATAACTAAATTAAATTCATAATGCAAGGAAAGGATAAACATTATGCAGTAAACTTTTCATATAACAAGACTTAAATAACATGAAAAATTTAAGTACGCATAATCCATGTAACATTAGGAATGCATAACATTTTGAATGCCCATAACTTTTTTTTTTCTTAATTTCATTTTCTTTTACTTTTCCTTTCTTCATGAACCTTTCATTTATTCATAAATGCATAAATGTATAAAATGCTAATCATATAATTATACCCATGTCCCGAAAGTACAAGTATTTTGTACTGATCAGATACACAATCAAATTTGACCATTCTTTTACCATTTGCTCCGAAGAGTCCCTTTATCATTGGTTACGAAGAGTCTATTTACCATTGGCTCCAAAGAACCCATTTACCATTTAGTACTCCGGATCATGCACATTCGATCATTACATACTTAACATAAGGAAATTAAACCATTCATCATTTCATATGTGTTTGTCTAATAATGTTTTATGCTTAAATGTTCTCGTAAAAAATCACAAGTTAACAACTAAATAAAACAAACAGAAAAATATGTGCTTGCTGCAGTATGACTTCTAAACAATTAACATAACATTTTAACTAAACTACAATGATAAAGCATAAGAAATTTTAACATTGAAAAAGAAATTTATGAACTTAAAAGAGGTATGAATACCTACATCACAAGTACAATAAACTTTAATGACGTCGCTTATGCTTGAGGCATCCTTTTATAATCGATACCTAAGATTAAAAGTAAATACAAACATACTAGGCATTAATCATAATATAATTTAAATAATCGCTTAATTAAATTCTATTTTCGGATTTATTAAAAATCCCAATTTTAGGAAACCTAAAATTCACTAATTCCATTCCAATTGCATTCCAAAACTCCCCCCTTATTACATTAATAAGTAGGGTTAAATATTTTTGGATTGTTTTATTATAAAAATTAGAAAAATTAAAATTTGTGCAAAATCCTAAATTTTATTGTTTAGAAATCTTCTTTGGATCGTTAGAAACAACTTTTGTAAAGAAATTTTTAAAGAATTTGAAAATCGGAAAAATCCTAATTTTTGGAATCCTAAAAATTTTTGGGGAAAAATATATTTTCATGTTCAAAATCATTTCCTAAACCTTCCCTATTAATCTCCTAAAGAAATTTGAAGTTTCCAATAAACCCTAGAAATTTCTATTCCAAAACTCCATGATGAAAAGAGGAATTCTTAACTTAAAACATACCTTATTATCCTTTGAACCTCCCTCTACAAATTTCCCCAAGGAATAGCCGCTGGAAATCGCCTCCACTGCCGGCCAAAACTCCAACCCGAGCGCTCTCTCCGCCTCCCTCTCTCTGTTTCTTATTTAGGCCGAGCGAAATGAATGGGGACTGAATGGATTTCGGTCCCCTTCAGAGGGAGTGGTTAAGTTTAATTGCATAATGTCCTAAATACCCTCTCAAGACTTATTTTTGCTTTAATATCATTAATGACATTTTAGTCATATTTGAAAATTTTAAAAACTTAGCCGATTTTTAATTCCCAAACTAATCAAAATTCACTATAGATTATTTATACCAATTTGCTCGAAATTTTAAGCACTATTTTATAAAATTAATTTCGTCGAAATCCGACGACTTTGAAAATTCCCTTAAATTTCATCGTGATGCATCGAGATGCGTGCAAAGCTTACGATCGACGATTTTGAGTTTTACAACATTTTCATCATTCCTATGTCTTTTTTTAAGCAAGTTCTTATCACCATTTTTAATGCATCAATTTTTTTGAAGTCTCTAGATCTCTTATCTCTTTCCTCAACTATTTTATTTATCTGCTTGCTGCAACACTCGTATTTCTCCGAAAGATTTATTCCTGAAAAAGATCTCATTTAATAACTTTAATGTAACATTTTTATCGTTCATATGTATTCATCCTTAAGTAAATACTTGATCACCATTTTAATGCATCTAACTTTTCAAAATTATTTGATCTCATATCTCTTAACTATTTTATATATTGGCTGGCTACACACTTGTATGTCTTCTTCCACTCCTTTAGACTTACTGGAGTGTTTTACATTGTTGATTTTTTAGCATCGACAAATTTTCCTCGTACATCGACTAAACATGCAAAACAATTACCAAAATTAGGAGCTCATATTTCAAGCACTAATTACGTGCTAACAACCTGCAAGAGGCCCTTACTTTGACTTTAATTACCGGCTCAACTTTGCATTTACGGAAATCACCTACTTGTTAAATCTCATTTGTGTGCTGCAAAAAAGCTGTGCCTCTAACTTGCTGTTGATTTTGTAAACTTTGCAGCTTAGGATGCTAAAAAGGATAGCTACTGTTAGAGATGATGGATCCGTGTTAGTTGAAGTCCCAAGCAATGTTGAGTCTCCATCTCATTACCCAGACCCTGAGCCTGAGGATGTTCATTATGAAACTTTTGATGAGGAATTTACTATTCCATGTGACAATCAATATATGCCACCTTTACAAATAGTTATTCTGATTGTGGGTACGCGAGGAGATGTACAGCCATTTGTTGCTATTGGTAAACGTTTACAGGTGCTTTGTTTATTTTGATTGTAAGTTACTATTTATATATTGTGCTGCCTACCTAACAAGTTTTTTTGATAAGCTTGAGAACACCAGTTTTCTTTCTTTAAGCTATGTCAACTTATGATTATTTTCTTATAATGATCATATATTGTCCAATATTTGAAGTTAGTTTGAATCTCAAGTTCTTGCAAGGCAGAACAACATTGAGTTTAGGATATTTTTCTTTTTCAATGCATCAAGTTCTATTTATTGATGCATAGTTGACTGTTTATGCTATTGCAGTGATCATTGTATGGCATTATAAAAATGATACTGTTGCATTGCATTATATTAGTGAAGGACTAGTGGTTCAATTTAGGATATTTTGTTTAGATTCATTTAAATATAGTCCATCTTATTTCTTTTTAAATTTGTCTCCAAGATAAATTTACGTACATGTCCTTAGATTTATTGGAGTTGTCGTGGATGCTTTATTAACTTATTTAGTTGCTTTTTACCATCGATTGAGTGGATGCCAAATCGTTGTAGATGCTTTAGAACTCTAGGTGTTGAGCCTTTCTTCAACCTTGGAGATATCTTAGATTCTAATTGACCTAAATATTAGATCCCACATCTAAAATATTTTTCGATGCAATGTTTTAACATTGAATATATATATATATTATGTTTTAACATTGAATATGAACCGAGAAGTTTTAGGATGTAGGGTTTTTAAGGTCGTCCTCAAATGAGATGGAAAAAAAATAATTTAACATACAGATGAAATTTCTGAGGTCACAACTTTTAATTTTAATATTATTAGATTCGATTAAAATTAAAATGTGAAAAATTTATATTTAATCAAGTTTGAAATAAATTGACTATGCACTCAAACCAGCAATTTTTTAGAAGAAAATGTTAGAGAAAAAAAGTCACCAAATAAAGCTTTCACTTGTAAGGAGATAACTTCTTTTTGAAAATATCAAATCTCACATTTTATTCATGGTTAGATTAGAAGGAATAACACTTCTAACCAAAAATTCATGTAGAATTAGCTTGATTGTTTTTTTTTAACATTATATAAATTCTTTTTTTATAATCACAATGTTCATTTATCTACGGATTAGACATCACACAAAAATCGTATTAGGAAGTAAAATCAAAATTCTGAATCTTGCTATATGCATCCGCAAAAGTTGCTATGCTAAAATCCCATAACAGAAAGAGGCACTCTTAACAAAATTTCATGATAGAGCTTGGATTACACAAAATCAATCCACCGCTGCAATCAATTATTTTCCAGAACCTCTAACTACCACAACCTCTCCTTCTCTAAAACACCTAGTCGCAAGCATCCAAGGAACAATTGCAAAAACAAAAACTTTGAAGCATACAATCACTAACCTCCAAATAAGTAATTGTTGAAGCAGAAACTCCAAGGAAAATTCATTGGAACTTTAGATCATCATTCATTTACTGCCATAATAAGGTAACATCATTGGCATTCTTTATTGAAATTAAAAGAAGAAAGCATGTGAACTAAAATTCATATCAAGAGAAAAAAAAACATTAATTATTGTAAAAGTTGGATTTTAGTTTGTTTATCTTGGCACACATAATTTGCATTTCAACAAATAAAGACTTTGATTGCAAAAATTCCTTTACAAAATCTTCGAAGTCTTAATAAAGATTATTGCATTGCTCTCTATACATCCATGAATTTTCTAATGATTAAAGTCACTTTCATGGTGAATCTTCTTGTTATAATATTAAATTGACACTGCAACATCAAGGTTGTTTTATTTAAGCTTATTTTCTAGTATCCCTTCACATTTTTTCAATTTATGACACATAAATTAGATTCTGTTATAGTTTAATTGGTTAACTTTGGTATCAAGGTATTTATTATCTACCATTTGAGATTCTCTTAGAGAATAGAATTTTATTAAGTATATTTTTTATCCAAACCTTTTTATATTTCCCACAACTCTCCAAATCTCTTCATAAAGTCTTAGCTTCATGCATATTCTATAAAGTTAAGTTCACATTTTTAGTATATAATGATGATTTTTCTTCATTTTTTTCTTTTGAAATGATTAAAAAAAAAAACATTCAATAATTTCTTGAGATAGCGTTGCCATTTTTTGTTTTCATTTTAATCAATCTCCTAATATCTTATCTCTTAAAAATCTAATTTGTTGTAAATCTCTTGATCTCCTTTTTCTGCCTTAGCTATTGTGTATTTTTCACGCTCTTTTTTTTTAATACCTACTTTACTGTAAAAAGTATCAAGAGCTATAAGCTGGAGTTTGTTACCTCTTTTCAAAACTTCTACCTTAACAATGTTATCTTCCAACTTCTTATCCACTGATATTCTTACACCATTTCTATTTCTAACGTTCCCATCTTAAAATTTATTAAACCTTACCAATTTATTTTATTTTTTTTGTTTTCATTTTTTCTCTTGGAAACATGCCATATTTATTATTCTTCTACTAATCATGCCCCACAATTCTCGAATTTATCATCACAATTTACTAGATTTTATATTGCAAACCAGTTGTTTCATGCCTCTTATAACATCCTATCAAACTATTGTTATTCTCATCATAATTCTGTTAAGTTGCAGCCAATCTGTTATTTCATTGCTTTCTATTGGTGACATCCTCTCAAACTATTGTTATTTCTCACAAAAATTCAATTAAGTTGCAGCAAATCATTTCCTGATAATGTCCTAACAAAATCTTATCCGTTTCTCTCCACAATCTATTTAGATCATTGCACTTTACTTCTACAAAATGTCTTAGAACTGTCACATATCAAATGGAGAGTTATTTCATGGAATATCTAGCTGTTTTATGATTGGATTAAATTGAGATCATCTCTAAGGATTTTTCATTCAAGTGAAACTGGCAGCAATAGTTTTATGTCTATATTCTTTCTCCACTTTTCTTGTATTCTTATGAAAAGTTGAGAGCATGATATTCCTATTTCCGGAAAGTTTCAACTTGTGAATATCTAAAAAAAAAATTAAAGTTTGCATAACAATTGACAACAACTTTGTATGATAAGATTTTTGATGTTAAAACAAATATGTACAAATTTCTATAAAAATCGTGTCAGTTTTTGATTATGCTTATATAATTTCTCTCGTCATTCTATGTGCAAAATTTTTTTTTTGGCCTGTTCAGGAGTTGCTGGTATGTGGCCTGATAGAAATTAAATTTCTATATTGTATAGCCAAAAGTATCTGTTTGAAACTGCATAAAATGCTCATGAATATTCAACCAGAGAAATTTGAACAGAAAATGTGATTGCCATATTTCTGGAGTTAAACCAACTACGAAAAGTAAAATCAGCATTTAACTTGGTTGTGTTGTTACTTATTCTTGAAAAAATGTTGATACTTATTCAGTGTTTCTTAAGCTAAATATCAAAATTCACTTAAGTTTTCGAATTTGGTGATATTACAAGGGTAGTTCAAGTTGGCAGTGTGAATGCCCTGAGCTCTGCAAGGATAACTGCATTTTTGATCGATGCAAAAGTTAATAGCCAAATCCAGACTAAAAATAATGACATTTCTAGTGTGATAGTGGCGTTGTCTAAACTGACCCAAAGTAGATATATGTAAGCATTGCTAAAGGGCATGCTCCATGCAGAAGATTACTGCCAATGCAGGGTATGGGAAAGGATAGATGTACTTGCTAAACTTAATGACAAGCTTCCCCTTAATTGATGCTTATGTGAAATGGATTTTTATTATCAGAGCACTTTTGACCGTTGAGTTTGTGTGGCTATGAGTTTAAACGGCTGCTCTAGTATTTTAGTTGTGATTTTACAAGTGTTGAAATTAAGCAATAAAATTGTCTGTTTCATTTTTTGAACAGGATTATGGCCATCGAGTTAGACTAGCAACACATGCAAACTTTAAAGACTTTGTTTTGACTGCTGGTCTTGAGTTTTATCCGCTTGGAGGAGATCCAAAAGTTCTCGCTGGATGTGTGTACACTAATTTTATTATCTTTTTTATTCTATCTAGCATAATTAGTTATAGTTAAGAACATATAATTAGAACTATCAAGTGATCTTTATTGGTTTTTTGCTTGCTCAGACATGGTTAAGAATAAAGGATTTCTACCTTCTGCACCCTCTGAGATTCCAGTTCAGAGAAAGCAAATCAGGGAAATTATTTTCTCTTTACTTGCAGCCTGCAGGGATCCAGATGTGGATTCCGGCATTCCTTTCAAAGCTGATGCCATTATTGCTAATCCCCCGGCATATGGTAAGTGCAATGACTATCAATTTTTAATCAATTTGTTTTTTATATTCCCATATATATTCAGTTTTAATCACAAGGCTATATGTTTTGTGATCTAGAGGTTACAGATTTTTATGAGCAATTTCTTTGAAATGAAAGGTTAAGACTGCATACCTCAACCTGTCCCTTGGACTCGGTATTGCTGGGAGCCTCATGCACTCAATATGCTCTTTATCAAGCATTCTTACTCTAACTAAACGAGGAAAGAAATGCTGCCTTTAAAATATAATGAAAAGCGTAATACCTAGCTTGTTGCTTACAATTTGGAAGAATTGGATCAACTGATGTAGTCATAAATCACTTGAGCTTTTTACGAATCCACACATCATCACAGATTAGGGTTTCCTAGAGAATGTTAGGGCCAGAGCCGCGGTGAGAAATTCTGTTACAAGCTTAATAAACTGAAAACTTTCCTTGGATATCTCGGCTTTCAAATTACTTGTATTTACCAAACTCATAAACCCCCTCGGACCAATGTGCATAAGATTCTTTATAACAAGCTTGAAATCAGAGACCACACATCAAGTACAAATTTTTTAATGAAATTTAGGACAAACTCCCAATCTAAATGATTGCAGATTCCAGCTGGAAAATGACTAGCAAGTGAAATGTGAGAAGTAATTGTGTAGGTGCATATAACTACACCGATACATGCATGTACACGGAAACAATTATTCTTATACAAATTTAATGTCATATAAATGTGATTGAAGGCCAATAGTATTCAAGATCCTTTGGCATTTTCTATTAGTACATGTGAACAAAAATAAAAATGTTCAAAATTTAGCAGATAATTCCTATCGAAGAACTTTCTTTTCCAACTCCATTGAATGAGTACAAGGTATATAGCTTTCTTACTCGATAAGAAAAGAAAGGTTGTTCATAAATAGTAGATTTCCCTATGCACAATTAAATATTTTCCAAACCCAATTCCGCCTTCTGGTAACTCATCTAATAAAGGAAAATAAACTCACTAGGAAAATTAATCAATTTTAGCAAATGTGAAAGCAATTTGCTGCTGATATGTGTGAACACTTGGTCAAATTTGGAACAATAAGCTATTATCTTGTTGTTGGACCTATTATTTTGACCATTAGGGTTCAATTGTAGATTTGTAGATCCTTGTATAATTTGAAATTAAATATTGAGTGGGGAAAATTCTATAAGATGGTGTTGAGACCTGCAATGATTTATGACGCAGAATGTTGGCCATTCAGAGAAACATACAATTAAGTTAAGTGTTGCAGAGATGAGGATGCTTAGGTGGATGAGTGGCTTTACTCTTATAGATAGAATGTGAAACGAGTATATACGTGAAAAGGTTGGAGTAGCTCTAGTGGCGGATAAGATTAGAGAGAGTCGCCTTAGATGTTTTGTTTACATAAAATGTCAACTTTTTGATGACCCGGTTAGGAGAGTAAATGTATTAGATTTGGCCTATTTTAGGAGAGTTAAAGGCAGTCCTAAAAATACTTGGTTAAAAAATATTAGAAATGACCTTTATTTATTAGATTTAAATGAGAACGTGACTCTTAATATGACACAATGGAGAAAAATGATTCATGTAGTCGACCCCACATAGTGGAATAAAGGCTTGATGTTGTTGTTGCTGTTATTGTTGAAGAACGAATCCATCAGAGGAAAGTTAAGGCCCATCACAAATCATATGGACTGTGATGCACCTACCAGCCTAGCAATTCATTATGTAATGCGCGGTTTGGTTATCTTTATTGGGTTGGTTTGGAATAATTTTCTTTGTGGGGAGTAAACATCTCATAATTCATTCTTCGACCCTTCAGTTTGATGTACGTCTTTATACTGTTCATATCATGTTAATTGAGTGCATTCCTTGCAATCACATTTCTTCTTGTTCTACATTTTAATTTATTGGAAAAATTTCCTTAGGATAATTTTGAGGAGAGCTTCTATAAGTTTTCTTATATGGTAATAAATCTTGGCTCTCTTGTGCTTGATGGCCTTATCCACTAAAAAAATAATAAATAATGGCTTAAATTTTATCGAGTGAATAGAAACTCCAAATTTTTGCTTCATTTTTGGAAAAATCCCGTCTCGTTTTTATTAGCTTTTCTTTTCATGAATCAAGGGAATTATTGCTTGTATTTAATGAAAATTTTACAATTGATGTTTCAAATTGCTGACGTTGAGAAATTCTTGTTCAGGGCATACACATGTTGCAGAGGCGCTTAATGTACCAATCCACATTTTTTTTACGATGCCATGGACGTGAGTTTTTTGGCTCAATGTCAGCAGCTAGCCATTTTGTTTGTGCAATTTTGCATCTGAAATATTTGTTCAAGACATCGTATGGTTTTTGGTCATTGGAATTAAGTTATTTTTTATGTTAACCTTTTCTTTTTTATACTTCTTGATGATATACATGTCATGTTACAATGTTTCCTTTCTGTATGTTCAGGCCAACTACTGAATTTCCACATCCTCTTTCACGAGTAAAGCAATCTGCGGGATACCGAGTGAGATCATTTTCTTGGTTGATGTTCTTTTGAAATTATTTTCCTATTTGTTCTCTCCCTAAAATCTGTCTATGATTTGAGTTTGTATTATAGCTTTTAATCAAGCTTATATTCTAAAGTGAAACTGAATTCTTCACCATTGGCTGGATAAGGAATATTTTTGCAACACAAACAATTCTAATTTTAGGTTGTATTTCAAGTATTTCACTTAAATTAGAACTTCTTGATTTATTTTAGTTGAAAATTGCATCAATTATTCTTTTCGGTTGATTAATTTCCAGTTGTTTCTTTCTTTCAAACCAAAAGATTGTTGTTATGAGCAATATCTAACTTCATTACATGAATTCAACATCTTTGTTTTTGGTTGATTAATTGTAGAGTACGCCTTATTTGGTAAGGGTCAGAGTAATTGTAGAATACATACCAAATTATTAAAAGTTATATTTTTCTCCCTTATTGGTTCATGAACAAACTTATTTTATGCAACCTTGCCCTTGCATGTGTAGAGTAGCTATTTCCATGAATACGAAGATCTATACTTTGTGTAATGAACACATTTTTTGAAAGCATAGTATGATTTATTATTAGTCAATAAGAAGATTACAATCATAAGCAAATGCATAACATTTTTGGGTGAAAAGAAGAACGAGAAATAAAGTACATCGACTAGGCCAAAAGGTGGTAGATCTCCAAAAGATAAGAACCCAAAGGGTTCTCATTTAAAATGTCTAACTTGAAGTCTTGTATAGTTTGGAGAGTGATGATATATTCTCTTTGCTTTTCTTTGCTTCTTAGCATGAATAATTTGAAACTTTTTGTGAACTAGCTCTTTTGTGCTAAAAATGCTATAGCGAAGTTAGCTGATATTGAGTCTTGATCACCAACGTTTCCAACAATAGGATGATCATCGTGAGCAAAAGCCCTAAGTTGATTTGGATCAATTATGATGTAGAACGAGAAGGAAAAAAAAAGGGACATTTGAGATTTGAATTTCTTGCTTTAATTGAGATCAAAATATTAGGAATAATTAAATCAAATCAAATCCAATTAGAAACCTAATTAGATTTAATTTAAGTAACTTTCTTAAAATAGGCTATCTTAAATTAGGAAGGTATTTTAGATTCAAAGTTACTTAGAATTTGAACTCAAATATTTTCCTAACTTAAATCGTTTGATAAAAGGAAAGTAATCAAAGGGGAAATCAAATTTTGGAGGCAAAGAGGAAGAAGGGGGGGAAGGAGCCGACGACATTAAAAGGGGGAAGAGAGGTTATGGAAAGAGAATTAAAAAAGGACTTTGATTGGAACCTTAAATTAGGGAGTAATATTTAAATCACATCCAATTAAATAATTAACTGGACCTAATTCAAATAAATTCCTAAAATAAGAATCCTAATTTTAGAAACAAAATTCAAATTCAAAATTTGAATTTTAAATTTCAATTTGTTACTGAGTTAGAAGGGCTAAAATAGGAAAGGGCTTTAAATGTGAAAAGAGATTTGTGGAGCCAAGGGGAAAGAAGGTGGCCAGCAGTTTGGTGAGACCGGCAGCCTATGATGCACCAACACTTATCCTCAAACAGGCGTGCAGTGTCCGACACCGTGTCCGACACGACACTCGTCCGACACTCCTCCGACACGTGTCGGACACGCCGAAAATGTGTCCGATTAAAAAATATTAAAAAACTAATTTTCATCTCTTTGGCAGTGAAGATATTTTCATCTTCTCTCTTTTTGTACAATTACAAATCTTTCTCTTGTTGAACCAGAGTTGAAAGCAGTGATATTCAATAATGATGATATTGAAGACCAAAAATAAACCTCTAAAGCTAATTCTGGTAGTTGAAGCTTGAATGCTTGATGTTGTAGTAAGTGATTATTTGCTTATATTTTTGTGGTTGTATTAGATATTTTGTACTAAATATTTTATATTATAAGTTAAGCAAGTTATATGTCATTCATTTATTATTGTTTGTCTTTTTTAATATGATATTACATTAATATATATACACTATATAAAAAATGTATTGCCGTGTCTGCGCCGTACCCGTGTCCTATATTTTAAAAAAAAGCCGTAACTCGTGTCCATGTCGTGTCGTGCCCGTGTCGCCGTGTCCGTGTCTGTGCATCATAGCCGGCAGCTAGGTAGGTTGGCCGGGGGGGTGTTGGAGGTGGAGCTAAGGCTATGGGGAGGGAGAAGGGAAGGCCGGTTTTGTGGAAGTGGAAGGGTTTATGGGAAAATCGGCCGGTGGTGTGAAAGCTCATTTTCAGTTTTTCCTTCCAGGATTGTCCGGGACGATCAGTACGAAATTAGGTGACAGAAAAGTTCGTCCCAGGACGAAATTTGATTCGTCTGTACGAAATTTTTCCAGAGAGCAAGTCGTCCAGGAACATACACTTCTTCTGAAGGCGAAATTCGTCCAGAGGGCAAATCGTCCCGGGACGATTTGGAATCGTTTGGTATGATCTGCATGTGTATATATAGGATTGAGATATTTTGAAGAGAGAGAAAATCGAAGGAACAAGAAGAAAAAATGATTTTTGGGCAACTTCGGTCCATTTTCGTCCGTCGCCGTAGTTGGGAAAGTTGCTCGACTCGAGGTAAGTCACATTATGCCTTTCTCTATTTTCAGAAATGTGGATTTTGACGACTTTTCTGTTTCAAATTCGATTTCCGTTAGCGAAAATCTGGTATCATTTTGTTCTGGTAAACTTTTTACCGCGTAACTTTTGATATGTTTCTGAGACGATGTTTTTGCACGTTTTGAGTATTTTCTGAAAGATTTTCACCGGTTATTTTGAATTCTACGGAGTTTTGATTGAATAGCGAATTATCTGGATGCCGATAATATTTGCTTCAGTACAATGAAAGTCTTGAAATGATGTTTTCTGCTATCTCTGGTAATTTGGTAAATTTCTGAAATTATGAATTCTGTAGAATTTTCATATACTGCCGTTATGCCGCTGACGATTTTTTTGACGAAATTGGCTTTCTGAATTTGAATGTTTTGATGTGCTGTGATATCAGAAGGGAGTTATAAGGGGTCAGAATCCGTTAAGATTCTTTCTGTGTCCAGGAATCTGATGTGTATTATCTGATATGTGAAATGTGATTTTATCTGATTTGAAATCTAATTTGTACAATTCTGTCTAATTTATACGATTCTGTCTGTTCTGTACGATTCTGTCTGTTTTGTGAAATCTGACTTGAATATTCTGTTATATGAAATGAATTCCATTTATGGTTTGATTTCTGTTTGATCAAGTATCTGTATTCTGTCTGCTTATTCGATTTATGCATGATTATCTGAATTATGTACGGCAACTATTCTGATGATTTTTGGTTGTAAGTTTCTGGAGATTTTGATTGGCTTGTGTAGTCTTGCTGAGCTGTTAGCTCATCCTTGTTATCTGCGTGATTTTCAGGTTCTGGGAAAGGGAAGGAAGTCTTGGACTAGCCGTTCTGTGTCTGATTTGAGATTAGGTATTTTGTACTTTTGATTTTTTTGTACAATCATGGCTTTTCTGTTCTGTTCTGTTCTTTCTGTCTGTAGCCATGCACTGTATTGTACATGATTATTTTGATGGAGGAAATTATAGATGAACTGTTCTATATATTGGGATGTTTATAGCAGCTCTGTGCTTTCTGTATGTCTGAGATTTAAAAGAAAGTCTGGAACAAATTCCAAAGCTAGATCCTGAATGTTTTCTCCGTCGCGACCCGATGCGATGGGATTCGTTCCGGTTGGGTTGGGTCGTGACAATTCTTAGTGGTATCAGAGCTTTAGTTTTGGAATTTGGATTGTAAGACAGAGCTATAAGAATTGATCTGTAAGTCTGTCGGGGTAGTTCTGGTTTGTCTGGATTTTTATTATTTTTTGTTTCATATGCATGTGCATAGTTGTATTCTGTGTGATTATGGATCTGCCAAACCCAGATATGACTGATGGGCAAAGTGCTAGCCAGGCAGCTCCTGTGAACAGTATTGCCCCAGTGGTTGGTTCTGATACAGTTTCGCAGTTTGCTATGTTGGTTGCTCAGATGATGAGCGAGACTCAAAATAGAGCATCTACTGTTAGATCTGAGGATGTAGATAGACATTTACAAATATTTTTGAGATTGAAGCCTCCGAGGTTTGAGGGCACTGTTGAGCCCAGTGCAGCTGATGATTGGTTGAGGAGGTTGGAAAAGACCTTTGACGGTATGCAGTCCTCTGTATAGGAAGGTGTCATTAGCAATTTTTCTGTTAGATGGTGAGGCAGAATGCTGGTGGATGGGCCAGCAGGAGGAGAAATTCTAAGGTAAACTGAACTCTCTGATTACTTGAGAAGAATTTTCTGAAGGATTTCGATCGTGGTTTGTACCCCCTTCTGCAAGACAGCAAATGCAGGAGACTTTTCTGAGGTTGGTTCAAGGGAGTAGGACAGTTATGCAATACGAGGCAGAGTTTACTGCTTTGGCCAGATATGCTCCACAGTTGGTAAGTACTTTTGCTGAGAAGTGCTATAAATTTCTGAGGGGACTACGATATAGTCTGAGGCAGTCCCTGGTACCATTTCATATTTTTTATTTCTCTGAGCTTGTGGAGAGAGCTCGACTGATAGAGAATGATTTGATGGCTACTCAGCAGCGGTGGACTGCTAGTAGGAAGAGGTTCAGTGGTGATGCTTCTGGCAGTGGTTATTCTGGAAAGAAGAGATTTGTTTCTGGAGACTCCAGGAGGAGTGGACAGTCATGATCCACTACAGTTTCTGGTAGTGGTAGTGTGACCAGTTCTGGATCAGTCAGTGGGGCACCTGTGTGCCAAACTTGTGGACGACGACATTTTGGCCAGTGTTACAGGATGACTGGTCAGTGTTTCAGATGTGGTCAGCTAGGACATCGGATAGCAGAGTGTCCACAAGTTGGATTTGATCGACGATCTGAGACCAGAACTGAGAGCTTTGTTAGATCAGCAGGAAGGCCGAGGATTGTTCCTCCGCGTACTGTTTCTGAAGGATCT